CTTTGTGAGTGGACAACGATAAAGCATTTGGCCGCATCTATCATGACCCACTTATGATAATCCCAAGGAGGATCATCCTCAGACATTGTGGCATCCAGGAAGAACCAACATAGACAAATCTAGGAATAGTTCAAGGTTACAAGCTGCTGAGTCATTCACGACGGTCAGGTTACCAACAGTTAGTAGATGCACATAGGAGTGTGACAAGGATGTCAACTGTCGCCGCTCTTGTTTCTGATTACCATCGACTGCAACATGAAGATGACCAGAGAACACAAGACAACCACAGAACACAGAAAATCCCCCACATAAGCTTGCTTTCCTCTAACACAGTCACCTACAGATGGATCTCCTAAACATCTCTCTGAGGACAGGCTTTAGAGAACACCCACACAAGAGAAAGACACTAAAAGTTAACGTCACCGTCAACGATCACATTACCGAAATTCAAATCTTTACTACTGAAAAAAAGCAAAAAAAGGTGCACAATTTAGGAACAGTTGGTAAAAGAAGGAAACAGTTGGGTCTCTCTCCTGCACAATGTTGCTGTCTGGGTATAGAACAAATACACATCTTGCCGGCGATATGTAGGCTTCCCGGACATAAATACCCGTGTAAACTCTACATGTGTGTGTATGACTTACATCGTGGAACTTTCTGGTACAGTATAGATCTACAGTACTGTGTCAACGAACAACAAGTATTTGTCCACAGCTGTCTCACAGAAACAACGCCACAGGAAACCCGACAAAACAAATACAGGAGAAGTCGTTCTCACAGAAAATTGCTACAATGACTACAACAAGAACACTGATAGTCATATATATAAGTTCTGCCTTTGATAGGACGTTCACAACATGAGCTCTGATAGTCGTACGTTTTAGTTTTATGTTTTAGTAGAGGTTTTACGCGGCGCTCGCAACTGCATAAGGCTCTGGCCACACTACAAGCAGAGCGGGCACAGCAGAGCGCAGCAGTGAAAATTATTACAAAGACAAAGAGGCGACTGGTGGTGCGACTCGAGGCGGGTCAAGCG